ATCTGAAGGTCATAAGTGTCCCAATATCATATGATCCTACTTCATACATCTTTAAAAAGAACAGAGAATTAGGTCATATGACATACATAACTGAAAAAAAAAATCACAGCAAAAGTGAGTATTTTCCACCTTTTACAAGAATCCTAATGTTTATATCAAAGTCAGTCTTTATAATTACACAAACCTATTAGAAAAAGGCTTAAATGAACACTACAGGGTCAGGAACACAACAATGATTGCACCAGGGCCCTCTCTACATTGGTACCGCCACTAACTGTACAGTAAACATTCTCCAACGGCATAAAAATGAGCAACTTACTGTAATTTTTACTGAATTCCATGTTAGTTAATAAATTCAAAAGTTAATAAAAAAAACAGAACTGGACTTCAATTAACAATGAAACCATTAACCATAGAACAGAACCATAAACATTTATCCATAAACTATTAAAAGGGAAATTCATACGTTTGCTAAAGTTATTGAAAATTTGTACACCAGTATTTTTTGATTTTCTGCCTAGTAAACTTAAAAGAGAGGCACTGACTGGGTGGGGTGTTTCCACTAAATATGAAAATTATAGTTAATTGAAAAACAAATGTAAAATATATGCTGTGAAAGTTACTGATGAATTACATAGTTTGGGTTTTTTTTTTTTAAAACGGCACTTTGTTTTTAACCTAAATTATGCAATTTTAGTTTTTCTTAAATAAGCCCGCAAACTACAAAAAAATTAAAATTACGACTAATATCTAGGAAAATAGTGCTAAAAGTTCAGTGCCACTCACAGCTTGGCTTTTTCAGCCTAACTTTTCTGTATTTCAGTTGCATTTAAAAACAGTTATAATATATGTTATTTGTATTAGTGGCATTTATAAAGCGCCAAAATTTTCTGCAGCGCTGTACAATTGGGGGAGGGGAACTATACACAGACCAATTCAAAAGGTAAAGAGCCACCCAGCATACTGTCCCTGTCCTGAGATTTATATTTAGACAATAAAAGGCAAATATTTAACCACAAACATTTGGGTTTTTTTTGCAAACGACAGCAAAGAAGGTAAAAGTAAAGCTACCTATACAAATGCGATGCATTTGCACAAATCTGCAATCTTACACCTCACAGTGTGCAACTACTTCCATCACTCACAGCCAGCATGCACTTATGTGGATGTGGATGATGGGGGTTGTTGCATTACTATAGTAAAAGTAGGTACATTTCTTTCAGTGCCTTAACAATGAAAATCCTAAAAACAACTAATTATTAAGACAATGCTGGATCTAGCAAAAATTAAGATTATGTAAATGTTTACATTCGAGAGACATAATTTAGTACAGGGACCTAACGGTATATACTATAGTCTGATTTGATTTTGATATGCTATAAAATGAACGATAATCTATATTAAAGACCCGCTCTACTGTACAGAACACAAATACAATATTCACGCTAAAGAAATGTATGTAAATAGTTAAACATCAATAATAACGGTTTGGGTTGAGTGAAGAAAAGTCATCGCTAACAGGGTTTTTTACTAGAAAGTGAGAATTCAAATTTAAGTTCAGAGCAGCCAAAACTAACAGCTGATTTAGTGAATTTCTAAGGTTTGGCTATTTTAACCTTAAATTTGAAATTCACTGTGAATTCTGCATTTAGTAAATAAATAATCCATTTACAAAGAACCCATTGCTTTCACTTGGCAATTCACTGTGAATTCTGCATTTAGTGAATAATCCATTTACAAAGAACCCATTGCTTTCACTTTGCAATTCACTGTGAATTCTGCATTTAGTAAATAATCCATTTACAAAGAACCCATTGCTTTCACTTTGCAGTTCACAGCCCAAAAAACAAGCCCACGTCACATCTCCTTTTACCTACTGAAGGAAAATGACTACTCTCATCAACCACAGGCGGTGTGTTCTGTGGCTGTGGGTGATGGGAGTTGCTGTAGTTCTGTAAGCAGAAGGCACACAGCTCACAGTAACGTATTTTACAAAAACAAAACAAAAAAAACAACAACAAACCACTAAATCTCTAAAGAACACAGTGTGAAACTGACCCCAGCCCTTCCTGCCAGCATAGATATGGGGTCATGTAGCACTGGAATCAAACCCATGCCAGTTACCATGGCACCCTCTCCATATAGCTACCTACCTGCTGAGGCTGCCAGGGAGAGGAGCTGCTCTGTATTACCCAGAGAGAAGGCTAGGACAGCCCCTACATTCCTATCTGTTTGCCCCACCTTCAGCTCGCCAGGCACCGAATGGGGAAACTAAGCTGCATCCTGATTGGTCGGGAGTGTGTGATCGGCACCGTGTTACACAATCCCAGCTGGAGGAGGATACATTGTAACAGCGATTTCCGGTACCTCGAATCCTCTGGGCACTTTCTCTTCCATTCACAGACAACATGGAGGCAGATCCAGCCAGCAGGATCATTTACACTGTAACAAATGCTCCACAGTTATACATCTAAAGAGACATATTATAATATATCATTGTATTGGGACACAGGGCAGGCATTTCAGTGTAATTATTAGGGTCATATTATTTTCATTTATTTTATTAGGAGTATCTAAGGAGGGGTTTTATTCTGAATATTCACACAATGTAGCAGGTACCCCATAAAAGACCCCACATGGGGGCTAAAATATCACTTAAATTCCGAGTTAGTGTCCCCAGAAGATAAAGGGACAATACAGTCATCCAGATCACTTTCTCTCAATGATGTCATTTGGGTGCAGTGTCCCTGTCCTTTTAACCCTGCAATGATACAGACTGAAACGTTGATTTTTATTTTGAGCTAATAAAAGCTGTTTTATTAATTCTACTTGTAAGTCCCTGGAGTGCTATCTTGTACTTTTGGCTATATATATATATACTTTTTTTTTATATGTCTGTGTGTGTAACTTGTACGGAGGAAAGAAGAGCCTTTTTCTTTTTTCTTAGTGAGCTCAGTCCAATATGTGCTGCGCAAGTGTGCAATCACTATGCAGTGTTTCTTAACATCATACACAATAATGATACATCCGTAAACCCCCCAATCACTAACCTGTTTTGCAAAACAAACACCTATTTTTGCTGTTAAAGTTATGTTATTTTATACAATACACGATCATTCTAAGTTATCATAATAAGAAACAGAAACCCACCATCATCAATGTCACGTACTACTCACAAAGCAAAATTGAGGGAGGGTAGGGGTCCTGTTCCCCAGTTCACCATCAGCAGTTTTGCCAGGGCCTCTAAGAGTTGTAACACTTCTTCCTTGACCATGAGGACTGCTGACACCTCCACCACCACTATTAGTAGTATTCATGAAGCCTCAGGATATTGGGATTAGCAGCATGTCCATTACATCCGATTCAGCACACAGGGGCAATTGTTTCCCCCCCATTCTTTTCGTGCTGCAACAACTTGTGCTGCTGCTTTCAATGACACCGCAGCTCTATTTAGCAGAGTTAACTCAAGTGTTATTCCTTCTTGGTCCCCCCACCCCTTAAGAAGCAATGAAGGGAGGGCACTACTTTGTGCTACTACCACCACCCTTAGGTAGAGCATTAGGGATGATGATAATACAGCCAGTAATTGATAGAGGCAGTTTGGTCAGGATGAGTCGGATTCCTCATTTTGAATTAAGATGAAAAAATATTAGAACCCCCCTAAAAAGTTACTCTTGCCATGTGCTACTGCCAATGCCACTTACACCCACTTCCATTCAATTCATTTATAATTCAGTGTGCTTCTGTGTTATTGCTTGTGCTTTAGAAATTGCAAGCTTCGTCCCTCAGTAGACCAAGGTTTACTGCACAAGTCAATCGCTAACACTGAGCGTGCTAATTTTTTTTTTCTTTTTACTTTTGTAGAAACAAATATTCTAAAATGTAGTGGTGCTGGTGGCCTTGGGTGGAGCTTTTGGGTGGCGTTTTGGGGACCGGTTACCAAATTGTGTTCGGGGCTCAAGTCCCAGGTGTTTGACCCTAGCAATGCCCCTATGCCCCTTTGGATCCTCACCTTTGCTTTGGTTTAAAAAGCTTCCCCCTGACTGCCATACTGACAAATCACATCTAGTCAGAGCTCCGGGAGAAAAGCGATTTTCTGCCCATTTAACCACTTACTTTACTCATGATATCAAACTGCAGGGGCTGTCTGTTGTCTCTGTACGTCAACGGCAGATGGCCTTTGTACCCACTTGTCCTAAGAGGAAAACCAAGCTGCCATCTTCCCACCAGATAGCCACATTGTTGGGTTGAGAGCCAATGGGGGTGTGGGGACCCAGCGATGCAGCCCACGTCCTTGCGGGGAGTATAAATGCCGACATGTGACAGTGCCTCTTTGAGATATGGCTCTGGGTGCCAGGCGCAGCCTGATAGATGGGCATCACACTCAGGCTCTTGCTGGGGCCTAAGGCCGGTGGAGTGAATGTCTCTGGATGAGGGGAACAGTGTCTTACTATGGGACTTTTGTGCTTAGCTTGGGGGTCTGATAAACACACATAGGCAGGGTCATGGGCCAGGCGCAGTTTTTCTTTTGAGCATTTGGCTTCCATTCACATTTTGTTCAGTTCTGTGTTTTAACGTGCTGCCTCTAAGTCCATCTAGACGACCATTTATCAGTGATGTCAGTTAACCCCTTATATTCCTTACAGTATATTCACGCAAATAGTGCGTATACGAAAGCCAGCTTATTATGTGTAACAACCTACTTGTATTACTCACATTCACATATTTTACTTACTATTTTAAAATTGTGCAAATCCTTCGAGTTATATGCCTTATCCAGTATTGAATCCATCTGAATTTGCCTCACAGTAACATGCTTACGTTTGCCTGTATCTGTCATTGCAAAAAACAAAAACAAAAAAACAAAGAAGCTTTCTCCAGGTCTGACTTGGATATGTGATGTAAGTGGTACATAATAGTACATTTGAATTAGTGGGGATTTTTAACATGTTTTATTCTCCCCCGCAACATCTGACTTGACTATAAATAATTTTCAAACTGTAAAATATGCATTCAGCTATTGAATTTCCTATCTAATTCTTCCTCTGTCTACAAAGAGTAAGGAAGCTCATTATCTCACTGCAAATTTTTTTATTTTTAGAAATCAAGTCACTGAGTTGAAACACAGTTTGTTAAAGAAAGGAACCTATATGTGGGTAGAAGTGTTTAGTTTTTTGTTTTTTTAACTGTGATCTCCCATGGGAGAGGCATGAGGGACAACTCCGCCATTCTATCACCATCTTGCAACAACTCAGAGCTGCGGTTACTGTCACCCCTGCCATGCCAGCAGAACATCTTGTAACTCAGATCTGCAGTATGAAAAATAATAAAACAAAAAACTTTTTGGATTACCATTTTTTTCAGAATATAAAACAATCGCACATATATTCACTAGAGATTGATAAGAGAAAAATAAATAAAACAGTATAATAACTACAGTAAATTTCATCTAGTGTATATTTTGTGTGGATATAGGGTTTGTAGCGAGTGTGTATAGGGACTGTGCTGTGTTCTTAGGGAATGGAGTATATGTGTGTAGGGGATGTAATATGTGTGTTTAGAGAATGTAGTGTATGTGTACAGGGAATCCACTGTGTATAAGGGATGCTGTGTTTGTGAATATAGAGGATACAGTGTGTGTGTATAGTGGATGTTTGGTCCTGACCAACGAGTGTTGTGTTCTGAACCTTTATCAGTATATGCTTGGTCCTAAACTCCCTCAACTGTTCGAAAGAGTGTTGAGCTCAGTACCTTGCGTTCCTCTGTCTCTTCTCAATAACTCAGAGTGAACGACCCAGAGCTCTTACTCATTGACTCAGCCCTGGAACCAAGAGCTGTTAAAGTGATCTGCACCCACCTAACATTGGTGTGTACCACAATGCTCTCCCAGTGGACCACCAGGGATTAAGCCCTGAGTGCCCATCACTGGACCACCAGAGATAACATATCCATCTTCTAAAAGGTAAGAAGGAGGGGGACAAAATAAACATTTCCCTAAATAAACACACACCACTTGGCTGGCACAATGTATAGATAACATTTAAAAATGCTTTCATTTGATGCAAGGATAAACAACCATGACAGGTGCAATTTAATACATTTAATAATGATGAAAAAAACCAACAAGGAAACAAAAAAAGCAAAACGGTGAACAGCCATTGACAAGATTGTATAAGAATATTTAAAGATTCCCAGCTAGAAGAAATAGCAAACACATCATTTAATGTAGTCTGATGTTAAATCTTCCTCTGGGTCAGAAAAATCACTGTAACCTGAAGTCATCTTTTCTTTTGAACTATAATCTTTAGATTGCTCTAAAGGTGGAACATCCAAATTTAATATATTTACAAAGAGTCTGAATTTTTGCACAACAGGTGATCTTGAGTTGTGAAGGCCTGTTATAGTGTTTTGGCTCATCTGTGGAGGCAGCTCCTGTTTCAAACTTGACCAGATAAGCTCTGGGTCTCCTAATGACACAGATTTGAAATTAACATTACAAACCTCGTTTTTGTCCTGTGAACAGTTTGAAGTGATATACAGTGCTTTAACTGGGAAAAGTGTTTTTTGGCAATGGCTTTTGGGTATTTCCAAGAGTGGTACGTGTTCGGTAGGCATTGCTTCTTCAGCTGAGGGTCCACACTCTTGTCCACTAGGCTTAGCTGGTGAAGACGTAGAAGGACGTGGAGCATTGTTACATAAACCACTTGCATTCCTTTCACCATTTTCCAAGAAACTTATACTCGCATCAGAATTTTGTCTACCATTGTCATGATATATTCTGCATTCAATGTTTCCAACTTCACTCAGCAAATCAGCAGGTATGACATATTTTGGGTCATTTAATTCTGTATTTCTATTGTGCGTACCCTCAGATCTTGGAAGCCACATCTTTTATATAAAAAAAACCCATAAAATAATTTTATTAAAGCATAGTTCTTAAACTTTCCTACTCAGCAAAGAACACAAATGTGTATTCCTGACCCCATAGTGTTAAAATAACTAATACACCCTCCTGCCTCACTGATCCCCTAAATACAGTAAAATTCACATTATTTCCTGTGTTGCACATATCTATGACGCTGGCTCCTCCCCTGTTTCACCTCCTTAGCTGTCATCATCAGAAGTAATGATCTCAGCCAATCATAATGATTTCCAATAGGAAAGGTGGTGTGGGGGGAAGGTGGGGAGGGGGGCGGCTTGACCAAACACCTCCCTGGCCAATCACCATCTCCTCATAGAGATGCATTGAATCAATGCAACTCTATGGGTAAAGTTTAACATCTCCATGGAGAGCGTGGAGATGCCGTGTACAGCACTGACCCAGGAATCA